CTTTTCTCGATTCACTCGGATGAGTGTCTGCTCGCATAACTCTCTTTTAAGTTCTGGCTCGAAACTTAACCAAAAATTGGTTAAAATTGTGAGACTGACAGTGATACATAATAGGTCAAAGTGGACAATATCGGTTAATTAATAATTGAATAATAGTTAGAAATATCCAAATTGTATTGAAGATGGAAAAAGAATAATTTTTTTAGTGACCCATTAATTTAAAATAATTCCACATTTAACCCTTTAATTTAAATTCCCTTATTAGTTTAATGTGAATGTGGAAATGATGGACCAAAATTAGAATATTGTTATAAAAATAATATATAAGAATCAATGGGTGCCACGTCACACATGCTTCCTTAATTTTAAACGTTTATGTACGAATATATATTTATTTTTTAATAAAAACATGTCTTTTTTTTTACTATATAATTTAGTTTTTTTAAAATTACATTAAATAAAAAAATACATTTAAGTTGTTTCAATTACGGAACTATCCTTAGTTGACTTAATGGTAATTGATATTTACGACAACGTCTTTTTCCTTAAAAAAAATCAATTAACTATGGTCGAGAAATTTGTGTCTTATCCATTAAACTATGCTTGAATTGATTTCAAAACATCAGTTGGGGAGGAGAACGAAAGATTTCTTATAAAGGATGTTGGAAACCTCTCCCTCTAGTAGACGCGTTTTAAAAACTTTGAGAGGAAGCTCGATAGAGAAAACTTGACTGTTACAATAACGAATAACGACAACCCTTTAAATCTCAGTTCGATTTGAAAGGTTGAAATGAAAGAAAAGAATTGAACTATCGTTATCATCGCTACACACTTGTAAAAACCATAGCAGCCTTGTTTAGGTTATTACTATTAACTCAACAAAAAGGCTATTATAGTAGAATCTACACTTAGGGTTAGGTTTCTTTCATGTAGCTATGCATCTAATTGATTAGCTTTTGTAGATTCGGTTCTAAGTTAGCAAAGTTTAGAAGTAAATTAGATATGGGTCTGTCTCAATTGAACAGATAGTATTCATGTTTCAAATCTTTCTCACATGATAATAATGATATATGGATATGTTTGGCTGCTTTAAATTAGGGTTACACATTCGGGTGAATTTGTAAAGAATCATTGTCTCTTAAAATTGAAAGATACCCTTTAAATGAGGTTCGTGAAAAAAGAAAGTTCACCAAAATTAATTTTATACTAATTGTGGTTGCATGTGTTTATCATTTAATTCTAGGACCGTGGTTGCATGTGTTTTGGCTCGTTATACATTGTCATCAACCTCATGATTTTAAAACGTATCTATTAGGGAGAGATTTCCACATCCTTATAAGAAATGTTTCGTTCCCCTCTCCAACCAATGTGGGATCTCACAATCCACAAAGGGCCAACGTTCTCGCTAGCACACCGCCTGATGTCTGGCTCTAATACCCTTTGTAACCGTTCAAGCTTACCGATAGCAAATATTATTTGTTTTGGCTCGTTATGTATCGCAGTCAACCTTATCGTCTTAAAACGTGTCTACTGATTGGATAACGAAAATGAATGCATTATAAACTGCCACGTTGATTTGGAAAAGTAATTAGACAAAGAAAGAAGAGATGTTTGAATGATTTAAGAACCAAATCTCTTAGCCAAAACCGCCCAAAGTTGCGTTTCAATGCTGTAAACTCATCTTATTTGAAGCTGTCTTCTTCAAACTCTCCCTTTTTTGTTTCCATCACCTTCTTACACCCTTACACCTATCATCATTACAACACATTAAAACAACCAAAAATTCAAATTTGATATCAACTTTTATCGAGTTAGTACCCATTCTAACGCTTCAAATTACACACCCTAAACTTACATAAACGTCAATCTTAACCCTTAAATCGGTAAAAAAAAAAAAAAAAAATTGTTAAAGTTCTTCGATGATTAATTTGTTAGATACGACGTTGATTTTGTTTTTCCGAAAGAAGAAAAGAAAAGTCATAAATTCTCATAATTTCAATCAAAGATTTTTGTTGTAACCCTCTTATTTTGATATGTTCAATAATGACCCAAGAATTCCAAAGGGTTTTAATTTGGGAAAGGAAAAAAAAAAAGTTCAAAAAAGAAAGTGAAAGTGACAATTCATCATTTCCATTTTTTTTTCAATCATCGCACCCAATGAGGGCGATCTTTGTGGTATGTTATATAGTTTACAATATTTGAAGGGAAATTTCTCGTTCTTTGTAAGTTTTATTATCGAAGATCGAACAAAATCGTCATTAGATACGATCTTTTGTGTGATACCCAAATAAAAAAGAGGCACATAAATGAATCGAAACTACATCTAGATAAGAGAATCCTTATATAGACTCGTGTTGGTCTGTGAGAATAGTGTTCACTCTTAGAAGGAATAAGTAACGTAAATCCTGGGTAGGGATCGTTACAAGTCGACACAAATGATCGAAGAAATTATAATCGAGACGATGATTAAATTAGTTATTATAGCAAGAACAAAAGTATAAATATTTGTTAATTAAGAAGAAGGGAGAATAGATTAGGTAAGGTCAAAGTCAAAATGTTGAAATAATAAAATATTAATAAGAAGGGCCTAACATTCTTTGAATCATATAATATGTAACAAATTGTGGGCATTTTAGCTGTGAGGACTCCCAATTGGGAAGATAAACAAAGAGAAGGGTCTAAATTCAGTGGCACTTATAAGTGAGTGAGACCCACTTTTTATAATCACATCTTTCCATTGAACACTTTTAATCTTACCATTATCTTTTAATCAAAGTTTTGTTTTTGATTATATGGGTCGTTTTAGAACCTACCGACTAGGCCAAGGGCTAAGTCGAACAGGAAGCAGGAAGATCATATTCACGACTTGAGAGTGAGGGTTAATGTTAGGAGTCATTTTGGATTTGGTGAATTAGGTCAGATGCTCGGAAAAGGTCATAAAAAATAGGCTCAAGATATACGTGGGTTTTGAACAAATCCTTGTTGATAATCAGAAGGTACATGAATGAACCAAGACCACATTCAAATGAGAGCGATCGTGAGGATAAATGGCAATTGAAAGTCATTAGCTATACCAGTAAGGAACACCTTTCTTTTTTTGTGGCTCAATCATAGGAACTTCAACGTGTTTTGCTTGGAAACTTCAACGAAACTTCAACGTCGATCGTTACATTTTGTTTATCTTTTTTTTAAATAAAATGCTAAACATATTTATACGAATAAGTTCTTCTAAGCTTCCTTTTGAAAATAGTTTTGGAATCGTAGACTACATTTGAAACTTAAAAAACAATTCTTTATGGTGTGTTTTATTTTAAAATTGGTCTAAAGTTTGAAACCTTTTGTATGTTCATCTTTAACAAACAACAATGTTATAAACAAAGGGAATTTCATAGCTGTTAGTGTGAGAATTAAGCCTTGGTTAAAATTTATTTAATTTTTTATTTTGCATCATATTCTATATTCTCTATGGGTAGAAAATATAAATAATTTAATTTCCTCCACTATTATTATTTTAATGTATATTAAAACTTGGGATTTAATTTTGATAGTCAAATTAGAAGGTTCTCCCATTATTGAGTCTATATAGCTAATAACCCTATATTGGATCCAACCAATGGATTGAGTTGAGTGAAGTTTTGAGATTTAGATTCAAATAAAAATCCAATTTTTATTAACCTAACCCTAATCCAAAATTGATTTGATTTGGTTAGGTTAAGGATATTGTTTTGTTTAAGGATATTGTTTTGTTAGGCTACTTTGGTTGTGGGTATAGGTCAACACAAATTCGTAAGGAAAAAGATATAATATCCATTTCTAATATAGATATGGATGAGTTTGAAGCCATTAGTGTTAGTTTTCCGTGGTTCAAAAATGGCTCTAGAACATTCCTTGAGGATAAGGGAAAACGACGATGAAGAACGTTTAGCTATGGTAAAAGAACGTCTAGAACAATCTTGTGCTCACTTTTATATGTTGTTGATGCGTAGTTGGATGAGGATGATAATATGGATTCCAGCAATTAGCCATGCAACTTTTTTCAATCGTGTATTAGTCACGTTATAGTTTTAGTCTTGTATGTGCAATAAAGTTACGTAGTGTCTATTTTTCGTTGATAAAGGGGTATTTCCATGGGTTTGCCTTGGTATCGTGTTCATACGGTTGTATTGAATGATCCCGGTCGTTTGCTTTCTGTTCATATAATGCATACAGCTCTAGTTTTTGTTTGGGCCGATTCAATGGTCCTATACGAATTAGCAATTTTTTATCCCTCTATTCCTGTTCTTGATCCAATGTGGAGACAAGGAGACATATCCAATGTGGAGACAAGGAGACAAGGTATGTTCGTTATATCTTGTTCATACGTGTTTTCTGGATTGTGCTTCTTAGCAGCTATCTGGCATTGGGTGTATTGGGATCTAGAAATATTTTGTGATGAACGTACAGGAAAACCTTCTTTGGATTTGCCGAAGATTTTTGGAATTCATTTATTTCTCTCCGGGTTGGATTACTTTGGTTTTGGATCATTTCACGTAACCAGATTGTATGTTTATTTACTTTTAAATGATTGGTTTAAAGATGATTCGGATCTAAGTTCATTCTTTGAGTTGATTGAAATGAGCCTGAGTTTTTTTTTTTTGGTGTTTGTGTAACAAGGATAAGGGTTTGAAGAAGTTCTTATGGCAACATAGTGTTCACTACCGGTTTGGGTTTAACAATCAAACCGACCCATGTAACCATGTGCGTGACCATACAAGTGCACGGTGAGCCCATGCAATCAAATGTCAGATAAAACCAACACGTTTACCATCTAATCCCCATCTAGTCAAGAAGATCAGAAGTTCCACTAAAGATGAAAGGTTTCTTCGATCGAGTTGGATGAAAGGTTTCTTCGGTCGATCGAGTTGGGGAATGGTGGCTAAGTTTCTACTACAACCTAATCAAATCCAAGGTAAAGATTTGGGGATGGAGATAGGAAGGAGCATACAAGGGCATTGTTGATGTAATCGAATAAAGTTACAAGGTGATTTCTTTTCAGCAATCCATTTCAAATAGCAAAAACATGATTCTCGTACAAATACATCCATCTATTTAAGAAGCATCATTAATTCATTACATAAAAACAATGCTATTGAGTCGATAACACCACAAAATACTTCAAAATTTTCTTTCATTATTCAGAATTCAAACCCAACCTAGGAATCATCCACCCGGAACATCCTTATAGATCACAGGGACTGCAACCAACAAAATGACTTTCATTTCAATTTCCAGAAGCAATCCCACTTCAAATGAAACCCATCTATCCCTGCAAATGACGAGAAACAACACAATCATATTATCGAGTCCACGAACTTGAACCAGAAGCTAGTCAATTTTGTACACGAGAGTTCAGATTATGTTATCCCGAGACAAAATAAAACTAGACAGTGAAAATTATTTAGATTCAAAATCCCAGAGTGAAAAGATGGGTCTGAACATTGTTATGTTTTACCTTGTTGGCAATATTGTTTGAGAGCCAGTCAAGTCCTTCATACAACCCTTCACCGGATGTGGCACACGTGCTCTGGATGTACCTGAAACGGGATTTCAAGACATTCGATTACTACCTTAATGTTTAAGCCATTGGAAGAGTAAAGAGTTTGATGATCATCAAATGTACCAGTGACGTTGTCGGAGGGAGTGAAGACCAAGCTTATCGGTGATCTCAGCAGCATTCATGGCATTGGGAAGATCTTGCTTGTTGGCAAATACCAAAAGCACTGCATCCCTCAGCTCATCCTGTAAGTGCAACGCATGTAATCATTTAGACAATAAACTAGAATGAAACAACTGTTTCCTGTAGCATATGCAAAGGCTATCGGAATCTGATAATCGGTCTTTATTATAAGTACCTCATTCAACATTCTGTGCAGCTCATCCCTAGCTTCAACAACACGGTCCCTGTCGTTGCTATCCACCACAAAAATAAGTCCTTGGGTGTTTTGGAAATAATGCCTCCACAATGGTCGGATCTAGGAACAAAACAGACATCAAATCAGTGGAGAGAACAAAGAGAGAAAAGCTAGTATTACCCATGTGCTAGATGATTGGCTAGCATCTAAGAGTCCGTGAAAGCACGAGTATCAAATTATATACACATTACATAGAAAATTATAACTCAACACTCCTAAGAAAGTTCAAAAGTTTAGAGGGGTTCACTTGTAAAATCTATACTTGTGACTAAAAGCCAGGTAATGCAACGAAAAAGTATAAAGGCATATAAGACGCCAGATATTAACATCTATCGATCAACATTGACAGATTAAGAACAAGCATCTATCATGTTACAAATCTACCATACTCAAGGAACTCTGTACAACGACAGCAACATTATCATTTAATTCAAAAAAACACTGTCAGAAGTTTAGCACCTCGAATGATCGAACAGAGAAAGTAGAAAGCCAACATTACAGAATAGGACCAATCAATGTACCTTGTCTTGACCCCCAACATCCCAGACGGTGAAGCTGATGTTCTTGTATTCCACAGTCTCAACATTAAAACCTGCACACTCATATGCAAGTCAGTTAGCCTATGAATAGATCACTGTTTCAATCAGCCCACTTTGGCAACATTTTGGGAATCTCGTGCAACTATGACAGAAAGTTATGATTGTATGGTTCACTCATAGCCTCTAACCAGCCCAATATTACAAAAATCAGAGATGAAAGCACAAGCCCTTACAGGTCCTAGATTCTTAATTAGATTAATTAGCCAGAGATCCATTCTAAATTCAACTACGCATAGATAAAACAACAATTCATTATAACAACTCAGATTTTTTGTGATGATGAACATGATGGTGCAAACAAACAGGGAACTGTCAAGTTAAACAAACACGTTCAATCGATACAATCAAGACACAAAGCGTCAAATTGTTGTAAACAGAAAGCATCAATGCCGCCATTTGCTGATCCATAAATTCAATAGTTGGATATGATACAACGACTTACCAATGGTAGGAATGGTGGTGACAATTTCTCCCAGCTTGAGCTTGTAAAGGATCGTTGTCTTACCAGCTGCGTCAAGACCCACCATGAGAATTCGCATCTCCTTCTTGGCAAAGAGCCGGCTGAAAAGCTTGGTGAAAGACAGCCCCATTTTTCAAGTAAACTGAAAACAAATACAACAAGCCTGCATCAGTAAAATAAACCAGAACAATCCTCCCTTAAAATACACTGACATCAGATACTTAAATCAGCCAAAAATGTAAATAAAACCCAAAAGAGAGGAGGATCCGGTATTTTGATTCAAAGATTGAATACCCTAGATTCAAAATGAAACAACGAACAAGACCATAACGCCATTTTCATCCACAATTCAAGCCAAAACCAAGTAATCGACACAGCACAATAAAAGCATAAAAAAAAGATCCCCAATAAAACCGCCCGATCCACTACAATGGAAACACAATCATCCCACAAAAGAAAACACATGCATCAACGCAAATCCGATTATAAACATGCCGAACGCAATCCAAAGCAGAGAAGGGTCAGATCAGATCCAAGCGTGAAACATGAAGCTAGTGAAAACAGAAACCCAGATCAGCGAATTCAAATTAATCAAAACCCATGAAAGAACAATCAATTCCAAGATAAACCGAAGATCAAAGAGGAAACAAAGAGGGAATCACCAGGCGGACAGATCCAAGCAGAATGAATCAAAATTAAGGGCAAAATCCACAGGATTGTGGGGAGATCTTGGAGAGAAATGAGAGAAGGGATTGAACGAAAAACTTACGGGACTTGATGAGGGCGGATTAGAGAGATCGGCCCCAAATAGAACGATAGAACTCTCTCTCTCTCTCTCTCTCTCTCTCTCTCTCCTGCACACGAGAGAAGCTGTCCTTCGCAATCAATCGCGCATTCGTGATTTATGGGGCTCTTATTTTTATAAAATTAAAATATACTTTATTTAAAATATAAAAAAAAAAAAATCAATAAAAATGAATATTATCACGACGTGAGAAAACGTTCGTTTGCACCGTTTTTTCTTAGCTTTTTTCTTGTGGTTCAATGACGCCGTTATGACGTTGCTTAAACTGTAAGTGCTGTTTGGGAGAAAAAATTCGAATCTCAGGTCGGCTTCTTTATCCGTAATCGGGATAGTATTGATCCATTCCCAAATACTTATGTTGGAAAAAAAATTGGGAGTTTGTTGGATTCCCTACATAAAAAAAAAAATTTTAAAAGAAACATTGCCAACGATAGCGGTAGGGTCGGTAGCTGTGAAAGTGAAGGCGGAGAGATCCGAGAGGGTTGATTTAAGGATATTTTGGTCATTTTATATATTATAAAACTTCGATTCTAATTAAACACTTCCCAATTTAATTTGAAGTTATATACTCAAAATCATTTTATAATAAGTCAACAATGCCGTTTTTTTTCAAAATTTGACATATAAATTAGAGTGTAATTGATAGGTGTGTTTAATTAAATATAAAACGATAAGTAACATACACAAAAAAGGACGATAACATAAAAATGAACGAATGTAATGGAAAAAGATGAAGAAAGGCACCTATTACTATTTCAAAAATCGATGATGGTCTAACCCTACTCTTGCCATTATTAGAACTAAAAACCATGAAATAAAAATTATATTTTACATGAAATACACCCGCATATGGAAAATTTAAAACAAAAGTTGTGAGATCCCACATAGATTGGGGAAAGAAACGAGTATCAGCGAGGACACTGAGTCTCGAAGGGAGGGGATTGTTGAAGGGATTGTGAAGGCTGTTACTAAATTATTGAGTTACAAAAGTATTGAGCGGTAGCATTTAACATAAAATCAGTGGTACATTAGGAAATGGTGCAGTAACTTGGGCATTGATTATTGCCGAATATGGTTCATTTTTATGACTACAAGAGGCAGCGACTTAACTGACTTATAACTTATAACTTACAATTTATTTTATTTCTCCTCTCCACAGGACTGAGGAAGGCATCGGCAAGATCATGGAAACATGATTCAAACTCAAAACATCTTCATCGGCTAGGATTTTCTCCTTATTGTCATACTCGATCAACAGCCATGTCGGATCGCCCTCCAGTCATCCTCTCCGCTCTTTCTCCACGTTCGCCTGTGGATTAGGCATCATATAAGGCAAGCATATACCAATGTGAAATGAAATAATCTTAATGTTTTTTAAGTTTCATAGAGGCCACTTGAAATTTTGATAGTTGACCAAAGCTAACAAGTTACCTGTACGAACTCTTATCACGTCTGAGATTGGTATCACTGTGTGAAGATGAAAAATGTGTCAGAAGTTCGATAGGAGTCTAAAAGGGTTCATTAAATAAAGAAAAATTAATTCCGAGATTCGTTTTTCTTCCATGTGTGTGCATTTAGATACGTGCTCCAGATTGCAAGCATAGGGCATGATAACTTAAATGATGAACTCTAGTAAAGTCCATGTGCTTCGTCTTAAAATCAACTCTAGTATAGCATTTAATCAAGCTTAATTTATTCTTAGATGGTTAACATTTTGAGAGGATGGTAATCTAGAGTGATTGTGTTTAAGGCTTTTATTTATTTGAATAAAATTTAACCTTAACTCGAGTATAGCATTTAATCAAGCTTAATTTATTCTTAGATGGTTAACATTTTGAGTGGATGGTAATCTAGAGTTATTGTGTCTAAGGCTTTTATTTATTTGAATAAAATTTACCTAAGGTTAAGTGTTTTCATTTTGAGGCTATATAAAGTCACGTTTGTTATCTTTGTAAAGAGACTTGGAAAATGTAGTAAAAAGAGCATTTGTGCTTTCTTTTGGCCAAGGACTAAGTTTTTTTACAATTCTATACAGTTTAGATGGCATGTTTAGAATCATTCAAGTTAGACATGATCGATCTTGCTTGTGGAGTGTTTCGAATATCAAACAAGTGTTCTTGTCTTGAGATATTCGATCAATAAGGTAATCTGAAATTTACTTTCCCTGGGAGTGATTCCTTATTATTAGGGCTAAGTGTTCTTACCTTTTCATTTAGTCAACGGCTAAGTTTCTTTGCAATTCTATAGTAGTTTAGATTGCATGTTTAGAATCATTCAAGCTAGACATGTACGATCTTACTTGTGAAGTAATTCGAATCTCAAACCAGTATTCTTGCCTTGAGATATTCGATCAACAAGGTAATTTGAATCTGACTTTTCCTTCCTTTGTAGTGATTCCTTATCACTAAACTTATAAAACAAAACAATTTATCTCACATTGCATCACGAAAACTTACCATTTTTTTAGTTCGTTCCTAATAATTAACACAAGGTGCTAATCCAGTTAACATAAGAAACTAGTGTCAATGGTAATGCATGAAAAAAGAAATCAAACAAGTGAAATAAAAAGACAACACAAATGAACCGCTCAACAAACAGGACAGTAGATTCAAAGAATATAAATTAAGCAAACAATTACGACATAAGCAGATAAGGAGCTGAGCCATTAACAAAAATAAAGTTATGTTTTACCAAAAATTTTGCCATCACCAATTTCGCCGGTTCTTGCCTCCTCAATTATCTTGTCTATGACAGCTTCAACCTGATAAAAGGATACTTAAATTTAATCATAATACCCATGGATTCTAATGCAGTAGTTTGCACAATATGTATGTGCAAAAATTATTTTACCTGTTCTTTAACGACCACAATTTCCATCTTAACTTTAGCAACAAAGTTGTCTTCAGAGAATTCAGACCCTAAACAGTAAATGAAAGAGAATAAAGTTATTTGGAATCATAAGCAAACATCAGGAATGACTAATGGGAAATGACATGAGAATCTAGAAACAGACTCACATGTACAAATAGATTCCCCACCATGCACCAAGACAGAGAGAATCATGAAAGAAAAACTTACCACCATGCCTCTCTGTGGATCCACCTTGAGAACCAAAGCCCTTCACTTCAGATACCGTGACACCTCGAATACCCATTTTCAGCAATGCCTTTATTTTCCTCCCAAAGAAACAATAGAACAACTTAATGCAAATGCTTTGCAAAATAGGATATTTAAACAACAAAAATCTGCATAATCTCCATTCTTTGGCGATCATTAAAGCTCATATAATGTATACATCTTTGTCAGGTAAGATAGGTTAAAGGTTAAGAAGTTCTTAACATGACATGAGTCGCTAATGTTAGCATTCTGGACGAGAACCAACCGTTCATTGCATTACACAATTGGTAGTATGCAACCAATTAGAAATGCAAGTATGATATCAACCGGTAGATTTCCCTCCCTCGATAGCCTCAATATTATGATCCTAAACTACGCTTCCTATGATGCCAAAAAATTCAAAGTTCACAGAATTCTGTTCCCCCGTAGTCTCAGGTGCCCTAATTTTACCATATCGACCATCCGTTCAGTGCATTACACAACTATTTCATTTTCGACAATAAAAACCAAACGAGATTTTGCATATTCCAAATGGAAATTACGAATGACCGTGTTCAAGGTTAACCAGATCTTACCGATGAAACATTTTGGATTCTCCACGGCCTATCTCGTCCATATACACCAACATAGCACACAGATAAATACGTATCAGATGCAACAAACTCAGCAAGATTACTCAAAGTCTTCAAAAGATAAATCCAAACTATAAACTAAAGAAAATGACAAAATCTACATTCACAAACTCCAAATGTAGCAATAGAGAACACCATGGAGCCTATCCGTACCTGAGGATCGCCTCCACTTTGTAAAATTTGGAATCAGGCACATAATCTACAAAGAAAAGAAAACCGCATATTAAAAATTGAGAAGCTGAAGATCCAAAATCCGTTTGTGAGCACAATATATAAAATGCGAGGCGAGTGATGGATACCGAGAGAGGCTTGGGCCTTGACTAGAGGAAGGATTCGGCGATTGGAAGGCTTGTAGGCGAGGTTGAACTGAGAGAATCTGACGGCGAAGTTTGGAGTGATGGAAGAAGAAGAAGCGAAGTGAGGAAGTTTTGGAAGAGGAGAAGGGAACGGAAGGAGAAGAGCGGTGGGTTTCGTCGCGGTTGCCGCCATGGAAAGTTGTATGCCAGAATCAGAGACGGAGCAGAGTGTGGAGCTGATCGGAAGCCTCGTAGTTCACGTTGGGGAATTTTTTGTGTTTTTGTCCATTTTCTCAAAACCAAAAGCCCATTTACTTCCAACTCTTCATGGTCACCAAAGGCCCATAGGGAATGGTTGAACGTGGTCAAAAGACTTTTTTGTCCCCCTCGCCATGTAATTAAGGATTATTGGGGTGTACACCCAACCCGAAAATCCCGACACAATCTAACTCGAGCTATAATGATTATATTGGGTTATATACCATTTAAGGTTAGGTTTGATTTTTTTCAGAACCCAGTCCAATTCAAGATGGGTATGAATTTAGAACCGAACCTCGTGTCACATCTTCATGAACCCAAATAAAAAATTGAACAACCCGACAACCTAACCCAAAAACAAAGGGTTGGATTGGGTTACTAATCCAACCAACCCAAACTTTCTAGTTCAACCCATAAAAACCTTTCTAACTTGCGTTTAAATTAGTTTTGACAATTATAATAATATAATTCATAATTCAAAATTCATAATTAATATATTACTTTCAAAAAGAAAAAAAACTAAAATATTAGAAATTGTTATATATTTTTAGAAATTTAATAATTTAGTAAATAAAAAATAAAAATAAAAAATAAATGAGTATATGAGATCTTATTAAATAATTATTAATGAATGGAGACATCATCCAAATAAAAACACTCTGGAATATAAAATAATTAAGATATACTTTAAAAAAAAATGAAAGTCGTTGCCTATACCACCACAAAATTGATTCTATATGAGTCGATCATGCAAGGAAGCTAAGAGAATAAATCAAAATTTTGAGATGTT